TTCCTAGCTTTTGTGGTTCCCGAGTTGAAAGTTGCGAACAAGTTGCTGCGGACACACACACACACAACCCCGTGACAATATGCATTTTGTACTGCTGTTACACAGCACAAAACGCATAAAAACAGCCAAGGCAGAAAAATCTCTCGATACTGGCTATGGCTAAGCGAAAACGAGAAATCCAAAACAACAGCCAGAATGCCCCTGAAAATCTTTTATGAATTTTAAAGGGATAAAAATGAAAACTTACATATTTGAGTCTGTACGTGAGGATGCTCTGAAGTGCGGCTACAGCAGCCAACGAAGCAAACCACAGAATCCAAGCGACGGCCTCTTCGTACTCGACACTGTTCAGTACGCCAAATAAAAATACCGCTTTGTAGACTAGAAAATTACCTACACGGTCACCCAGCACTGCTGATTCCTGAAAGAAAAAAAAAGACTGCTCTTTTTGCATTGAAAGATAAAAAAAAATGCAGCAAATGTAGTCTTAAAAATCATTTTCAGTGAAATAAATTCGTAGGAAATTGTAGGAAAAGAAGAAAAATGAATAACCTGAGCGCTCACTGGTCCAACAGTGACACGAATAGCAATTTTTACCACTAATGCAAGCAATGCGCAAATTGTATTGATAAGAATCTGAAAGGAAAACAATAGCACCGAAGTGTAAATATTTGGTAGCTAAAAAAACCTTAAAACCATACAAAAACCCTATTACATATTCGTCCCTTTATCCCCGCTTCTGGCCCTGTTTTAGAATTCATTTGCATTCCCAGACTTTCCACTTTTGTTATTTTTCCTTTCAATGCCTTTTTTAACCTCTCTAAAAACCCTTAGTTCGATTTTCCCTTTTCACATTTCCCTTTACCCTAATTACAAGTTTTACATTTTCAACCCCTCCAAAAAACTACCACATCCTCGATTGGGGCGGTTCTTACACCCTTTATAAATCTCCCTACCATTCTTCGTGGTCTCGGTTTTGCTCCTTCAGCTTTTTCGTCGACTTCAGTCTTCTCGACCGACATCATCCCCGGCTTTTCAAGGTTTTTGGGACTCGAGTGGTACACTTCTGGGCCTCATCGACCACTCTCTGCTATAACGACTCTTGCTCGGCAAGCTCACAGACTCGATAGATTACTTCGTGCTGCTTATCTGCTGTTTGCACGACTCATCATCAGTAAGTCATAAAATTGATTTTGCTTCCCTACAGTGCG